CCCCTGCCTCACCCCTGCCCCCCTGCATCACCCCTGCCCCGATAGCTCCTTCCCAAGTAGCTGAATTTGGCTTCCCAGCTTTAGCAGTTTGCCTTGGAAACCTGGGGCTCCCCATATTCATGGGAGTGTGGGTGGAGTTCAGGGAACATACACCACCCCCTGCTCCAAAACCACAACCTCGCAGGCAGAGTTGCTGGAACCAGCTTGGTTCTGTATTTTGCTCTTGTCTGGAGGGTCTGGCGCTCTGCTGAGCAGTGCCTGCTGAGTCCATAGCCAGGGACCAGTCCACGGCCAGGGAGGGCCAGCCACATCCCTGAGTCCACTCCCACTTGATCCTGCCTTGCAGGGCAGTGAATGTGTGGGGGTCTGGGCAGATCCAGACCACACTATAGGCACTGGTGCCTGAGCGGCCCTGCATCTCTCCCCTGGTCTAGGGCTTCACCATTGCAGGGCCCAGGAAGTGTCCTCTCCAAGTCCCAGAGCTTGCCCACAGCGTGGGCACCTTAGTGTCAAGGCCTCACCAGTTCAACAAAGCCTCGCTGGTTCAGGACCTACCCAGGCCCAGTGGGTAGCCAGTCCTGCCTGCTCCTTGCTGTGGGCACTGTGGCTGTGAGACCTCAGTGACCTGGTGTCCATGCGTGGCTGAGTGTACCTCACAGGGTTTTCCTCTGCTTTAATAGGCAGATGGGGGCCAAGCGCCTGCTCCCAGCACATGGCGGGCCCAGAGCCTCCCACTCCAGCTCTGCTGTGGGTGAGCGCCTCGAACGGCAATCTTATGGTGCACTTGGGCTGGTGGGGGGGCCTGGCGTGCAATCGGGAAGGAAGGGCGTGGTGGGCGTGGAGGAGAGGGCCGGGGAGAGATGAGCAGGAGACCTGGGTGGGGTGTTGGCGAGGTGGGTGGTTATTTCAGTAAGTCCCATAGGCTCCAGCGGGAACTGAAATAATGGCCAAGGATATGAAAGGGGAAACGGGCCGGAGCCCCCACCCTGGCTCCGGCAACCGGCTCTTGGTGTCCTGGGTCCCCTAGGAGAGGAGTGGAGTGCAGGAGAGCAGCATCCTCGTAGTTAGGGGGCTGTGGAGCTCCCCGGGGGGGGGGGG